CTCTAATCCTACAAGATCCCTGACTTTGTGCAAGTGTACAAAGTGTGCAAGGGTAAGAATTAATGCTAGTTTGAAGCCAAAGGATAGTCACACCAAATATTGATTTGATTTGGATTTCTTTTCTGTTCACTCACTTTGCATTTTGTAAATTGATAAACATAAACAATTACCATATATATTTTTGAAATCATTCTTACTTTACAGCATTTTTTCACACCTGCCTAAAATTGATAAACATAAACAATTACCATATATATTTTTGAAATCATTCTTACTTTACAGCATTTTTTCACACCTGCCTAAAACTTTTGCACAGTACTGTATGTGTGTGTGTGTGTATGAATGATTTAAGTGGTAAAACCACTACCACCACCAAACTCCATCAATATATGATTCTGTTGTAAAATGCCCTTTTTAAAAATTATAATTAGAAGTGCTTCTTACATATATTTGTTAGGAATCTATTGCTGTAAGGTAAAAAGTTATGAGAGTTTAATTTTCTTATAAATTAAATATGGTGATAAAACTTTTGAATTTCTCACTAATTGATTTTCTATTTAAGGAAATGCTGTTCGGCATTGTAGCAGTGAGAAAGGCTGGCTTTCCCCTGAACTCTTTAACTGTACTACCCTTGGCTTTGTGACTCTTAAAATCATGGTAAGAGTGGGGTACCTACTGAGCACAGTATTAATTATCCCACATTAATTTGTAATATTGCTGGAGAAGTTATAACATACCATTACATTGCTCACTCAAATCTCTTATCTGAGATTACACATGTGTTATAATTTTAATAGACAAAGAACCAGTTCTCATGATCTTTCAGTGCATAAGCAGACAAACATGAGGGAAGGAGTATTCACCTCATAAGAGTTTCTGCCCACATGTCTAAAAAATGATGCGTGAAGGTAAAATGCACATGTACACATGCACCAGATAATCTTCATACACTGAAAGATGTGAATGTTTACATGTGAATCAAACCTGCAAATTAGCTCACCATTCTACCACATACAGATTTATTCCCCAGTCAAGCCAAACTTATCAAATTTGAATCTAAAGTGATGAATCAGACTCTTCTTTAAAGCACTTAACGAAAAACAAATGAAATCTCTGCTAAAATTTGACTTTTGCCTTATGTTTCCATCAGAATGAGAAGTTTCTTCATAATGAGACAAAAATGGATGGTGATAAGTCAGTCCAGATAGCGAAAGTGCTTCAAAATGCCACAAACCACACAAGTTCCTTCTATGGAAATGATGTGCGGACAGCCTACCAGATGATGATCAGGGTGTTGCAGTATGAGAGCCAGCAACAGGGGTTTGATTTGGCTGCAACAAGGGATGTGGAATTTAATGAGGTAAGAAATGTTGAAATGATAGTGAGTGAGCACAGGTTGTGACACTGACAGAGGACCAATTGCAGAAAATGTGGGAACATAATTCCTCTTAGGAGGGCACAATGAAGTTAGCCCTAAAGATTGCACAGTATTTGTTTAGTGGTCCTTTTCAATTCTCTGACCGTGCAAAGGACATGCAGTGCTAAGGGCTTGATGGAAGAACAGAAGGTCCAGATGCATCTTTTGTCTAATCAACAGTAAGCAGAAAAATCATATAACCGAGAAAGCTTTCTAAAGTGGTTCAGCTGAAAACAACTGCAGATAAGAATCTCTGTATCTTACAGGATCTAGGAATTTGATTTGAATTTTTTTCTAGTGTTGCTTTCAGCGATCAATCCTTGTTATAATCTTTTTGGTGCAATGGAGCAATATGTTCCTATTTTTTAGTGGGGTTTCCTGGGCTGAAATGGCATTGGTACTGAAAAAAGGATAGGTTGTGATCACAGACCTGGGATGGGGGTGGAGAATCATTTCATGCCAAGATCAGGATTCTGCTGTCACCTGGTAGACCCTGTTAGTACCAAAACAAAACAAAAATTGCTTTTGATCAGCCCTAGATTATATGGCTTTGGGTTAAAGTGCATTGCAAGGTATTATTGTTATAAGAGCTCCAGCATAGTCAGAGTGAGATGATAGAACACTGAATAACATTTGTATGTTTGAAACAAGACTATAGAATGGAAATAGATTGTTTACATTATTCGGGCACTGTTGCCAGTAGTCAACATTAAAATGGTCTAGTGAGTCCCACAGAGCATAGAGATTCTATTTGTGGAATCTAAGAATGTTCTTTAGATTCACCAAAAACTATGTCACTATGTAATGTAAAGTTTAACTCATAGTGGCTAGGGAATTCTGGGAGTTGAAGTCCACATGTCTTAAAGTTGCTAAGGTTGAGAAACACTGCTCTACACTATGCTAAATGAAAGCATATTCCATTATTATCAGGTTGCAACAGAAAGAAGCATTTTTATTTACTTTGGCTTTGTTTTTTACTACCTTGCCAAATTCCCTTAACATTAAATAACCACTTTTAAATAGTAAAAAAAAAAATAACCCAAATGATGGCTGTGTAAAAAACAAAAATGTAGAATCTGCTTTTCCATAGAAATCAGTACAAACTTTGAAAAATAGCTTGTGTTCCAATTATACAGTTTATACTTTTACATGAATGCCAAGAAACATTACATAGTACAGCTTCCATGCTGAGGTCAGGAAAAAGCACCTGTTACGCCATGCATGCTATGCAGAACTAACTGCATTGATAGACATCTGTACTTTTTGTGAAAAAACTATTGTTCATGCCAATGCATAGGGAAGAAGAGTTTTATTATTATGTTCACTATGTTGAATGCTATTCTTGGAAAATATGAATCCACAGGAATCTAATATAAATATAAAAGAAATGCTGTTTTCTTCCATTGTTACTCAGCTATGCTAGCGAAGAATGATTTCTCTCTCAGTTGACTGACAAGAATTAGTACTCCTCTAGGCTTCTTCCTGCAGATGTTTTCATGGATTTCTAAAAATGAACTTTCCATTGTAAGGATTGATTGATTATGCGCCATCAAGTTGGTGTCAACTTTTAGAGACCACATATAGATTTTCCACATGATGACCTGTTCTCAGTCTGGTCTCTCAGATCTTCCAACAGTTGCATCCATCACCATTGTAACTGAGCCCATCCACCTTGCTGCTGGGCTTCCTCTTCTTCTCTTTCCTTCCACTCTTCCCAGCATTAGAGCCTTTTCCAGAGACCTGGGTCTTCGCATAATGTGACCGAAGTAGGATAGTTTGAACCTGGTCATTTGTACCTCGAGTGAGAACTCTGGGTTGATTTCTTTGATGATCCATTTATTTGTCTTCTTGGCTATTTATTGTATTCTCAGGAGTGTTTTCCAACAACCATTCTAATGACAGATGACTTATTTATTATTTCAATTTGAGGATAGTTATCAAATCCTCAGACCATTGTATTATTTAAAATATAGCAATAATCCAGTGTAAAATTCTAAAAGTGTTACAATATTTTTAATAAAAATATAAAAATTGCAAAACCCAAATACCATAACAAATAAAAAGTTGAAACCATCAAAGAGCAAAATGCTGAAAATAAAATAATGATAGTTTGTGTTTGTTTAAGGAAAACTTCATTAGACTCCGTACAGAGTTTCAGTTATATCTTCAGCTTCTTTCTTTCCAACGTAAGTATGATATGGTTGCATTTTTTTTTCTTTAGCATGCTTTTCTTCTTCTCCTAGAACATCATAAAAACAGGCAGTGCCTTGCTGGATCCTCGCACTAAAGACCATTGGGAACACATCCAGAGGACAGAAGGGGGTACAGCTCACTTGCTGAAATACTATGAAGATTATTTTCACAATCTGGCAAAGCACATGAAAAGAACCTACATGAAACCTTTTGTTATAATTGCTGCAAACATAAGTAAGTACTTGCCTCTAGTGTTGTCATTTTCCTATCAGATATGACCTCTTAAAGCAGTGTTTCTCAAACTTGGCAACAGTGCTGGCTGGGGAATTCTGGGAGTTGAAGACCACATGTCTTAAAGTTGCCAAATTTGAGAAATACTGTCTTAAAGCATCTTTTCACAGCCTGAAGCCTTCCAAGGCTATTGGGCTATAACTTTCAGAATTCCCACCAAATGTACCTAGAATTGGGGCAGCAATTGAGTGGTCATTATTGGAAACTAGTAATCAATTTTAAAAATGTCTGTACAGGTAGTCCTCGAGTTATGACAGCAGTTGGGACCAGAATTTCCATCGCTAAGCAATGAGATCATAAAGTGTGATGTCACATAACCACATGGCTTAGTGACAGCAATCCCTGCAGTCCTCATTGCCGTTGTTAAGCGAGGATTGTGGGTCATTAAGCAAGTACCTCCTTGCAACTTCCTGCTGGCTTCCAACAACCAAAATCAATGGGGAAGCAGGCAGGAAGTTGCAAGTCCCAGGTGGGTTGCAAGCAGGCCAGTAGGCAGGTAAGTGGCTGCTGCTGGGTAGGAGGGGAAGTGAGGGGGTGCATGGATGGCCAGGGAGGTGCGGCATGAGTGAGGCATGGGGTGGCTGCTGCCAGGTGGAGGAGGGCATGTAAGGGGTGGGGGAGGTGCATTGAGAATGCAGCAAGGCTCGGGGAGGGAGCACGACGGTGTATAGGTGGCCAGCGAGGTGCAGCACAAGCTCAGAGGAGCTTGGGGAGGGTGCATGGATGGGGAGACTTACCCACATGACTTGCAACCTTCCCTCCTGGCTTCCCCATTGACTTTGGGGAAGGTCACAAATCGCAATTACGTGATCTTAGAAGACTGCAACCATTGTAAGTGCAAGCTGGTTGCCAAGCACTCAGATCGAGACTGCGGGTTGCTGGGACGGCTGGAACTTCGAGGACCAGTCATAACCACCACTCATTCAGTACTGTTGTAACTTCAAACAGTCACTGAACTAATCGTCATTAACTGAGGACTACCTCTAGTTACTGAGCAGCATGATATATTTGTTCATATCCTGCTTTGAAATTGCCAATGCCAGGAAGCATTTTTAAAAAAGCATTTCCTTTTTCCTTCTCTCATGAGACAAAATGACTGTCCTAAAGATATGTGTGCTATGATACGTGTCCATCATTAAATCAGAACTATGAAAATTCATGCAAGTTTAATTGATAGATAAAACCCTGTACAATTATTTGATCATGCTGCATGTCAGTTCTGGGAATAATATTCCCCACATACCTGGAAGTATGATAGATTATAGAAGGCTGTTTGACCCAATGCCTGGCCCCTGGGATGCCCTATATGCATAAAAATATGGATATATTGCACACTTGAAGGATACACAGTGCATCCGGACAGTATTCAGACTCCCTTTGCTTTTTTCAATTTTGTTATGTTGCAGCCTGATAG